AATGAACCGAAAAAATAACGAAAACGACGAAAGTATCTATGAGCGTCTAAAACAGGCATTATTAGACATGAGGGGGCCGACACATGCTGATTGGAGCAAAATATTAGAAATCAAACAAGCGAGTAATGAGTCATTTGAAACGTACACTGAACGGTTATGGGTAACATACAGAGAACACTCGGGCCTAGAGGATGTAGACCGCAACCATGACGCGTTATTACAAATTATAAAGAACAATGCTGGCATCCCTGTTCAAAAGGCGTTATCAAATGGCGTCGACCCGGCCGAAAACACGTTCAGAGCGATAGTAGACTGGGGTTCAAGAATAGAAAACAGATGGAGATCAAAACCCCGTAATGTTGCGGCCGCACACTGGTTAACAGAAGGGAATAGCCCAGACAAATTTAACCAAAGATCTCCAAGCAAAATGTCATGCCGCTATTGCAAAAAGACTGGGCATTTCATGAGAGATTGCACGAAAAGAATGAGAGATTTAAGAGAACCAGCGAATCTTTACCAAAAAACGCCCTCTAGCAACGACTCTAACTTGTATAAACAATTCGCTGATTTCATAACCGAGTTTAAAAAACAAAAAAGCCAAAATGGCGCGGACCACAACGCGAGCGGAGCAATTGAAAAATACCAACACCAATAGGGATACGTGGCCTCCATCGCCGTGGGGAGCATAATTAAGAGTGGAAACCGAATTAAAATAAGAGCTAATTTAGGAGGCCGGTTAGCGGACGTACTTATTGATTCTGGCGCATCTTGCTCCTGTACAGACATTCCATTTCCTTTAACCAACGAAACTATTCAGATAAAAGGCATCGGCGACACGTTAATGATTGCGACAAAAACACAGCCAATTGAACTCGATTTGGGCGTGACCGTATTGAAAGAACCCCTCTGGTATTTACCTAACAACAGTGAAGGGACTGTACTGGGAATGGACATTATGCGAAAGTATGGCTTTGTAATTCACTGCTTTGAAAAGCAAATTGAATTGAAAACAAACAGAACAGTAAAAATGTGTTTAACAAAAAACACAACGAGCATTATGTCCATTTCCACCCCAGATCCCATTCAACAGATGGTAAACAAACACGATTACATTTGGGCTACACATGAACATGACTGTGGCCTCATTGACTTTGTTGTGTGCATTGAGGGGGAGCCCCCCCCCACAAAAACAATACCGCATCAAACCAGAGGCCGAGTCAGCTGTTCATGAAATTGTACAACAACTTGAAATTAGAGGAATAGTTCGTCGATGTAGCTCAACCACAAACTCTCCGTGTTTACCAGTACCAAAATCAAATGGTAAATGGCGTCTTTGTATTGATTATCAACGTCTTAACAAAGTTTTGCCCAAGGCGACACCTATAGTGGCAAATCCATCGACGTTATTATCACAGATTTCAACACAAGCGTCCTGGTTTACAGTGCTCGACGTAAAGAACGGTTTCTGGTCCATCCCAATCAAACGCGCTGATCAGTGGAAATTGGCCTTCACTGTGAATCAAATCCAGTACACCTGGGAGCGAATGCCACAAGGCCTCCATAACAGTCCTGCGATTTTTCACAGAGCATTAGAAGACACGCTCAATCCAGTGACAGGGACCGGAAACGTAATCCATTACGTCGACGATATACTTATCGCGACCGAGGGATCATTTGATGATCATTTGCTACTCGTCGACGAAGTACTATTAACACTCGGTAAAGCTGGCTTCAAATTAAACAAAGAAAAAGCTCAAATCGCACAAAACGAGGTCCAGTACCTGGGTTATACGATAACGCAGAGCCACCGAGCCTTAACAGATGATAGGCGCAAATGCATTGCTGAACTTCCGCGACCGCACACGCTGAACGCGTTACAGAAAGTGCTGGGGACAGCAAACTACTTGAGAGATTTTATTCCAGATTTTGCAAACGTCGTCACGCCATTATATTCCCTCTTAAAGGGAAAGTCAAAGCCTTCTGACGTCCTCGAATGGTCAGAGGAACACGAAAAAGCCTTTACAAATCTAAAAGAAAACTTGTGTTGTGCCCCCGCCCTCGGCCTGCCCAGCCCTAAAAAAGCCTTCCACTTGCAGGTAGACGCAAATGAAAACACTCTAAGTGGCGTTTTAGCTCAGGACCATGGGGGAAAATTGCGTCCGATTGCCTATTACAGCCGAAAAAAGTCCACGATTGAACAGGGATTTGACCCATGCACTCAGCACGTGCTGGCGGTTCACTGGATGTTGACAGCAACAGAACCGATTGTAGGTTTTCAACCTGTTGTTGTGCATACAGTGCACACGCCAGTACAAATGTTGTTGCAGGGCCGAATAAAAGGCGTGTCGTCGCAAAGGTTAGCAAGATGGCTAGCAGACATACAGGCACGCGACATCACAACAGTTAACGACCGAATATTACCTCATTTATTGGGAGATGTAGAGGGCCATCCACACACATGCCAACCTAAACAGGAAGCACAGAGCCCGGTTCATGACCAAGAACTTCCAAATCAGACACAGGTGTACATTGATGGTTCCCGATACTGGCATGATGGCAAATTCCACACAGGTTGTGCGGTGTGGGCTCCTCACTCTCCCAATTCAGAAACTAACCAATTGCTAATCAAACTGTCCGAAAACACATCTGCGCAAGAAGCTGAACTCATTGCATTACTCGAAGCAATCAGATCACATCACGAACCGCTGTGTGTTTACACTGATAGTCGATACGCTTTCGGTGCTGTCCATGATTTTATGGCACAGTGGCAGTTGAGAAAATTCCTCACATCTGCCGGAACGCCAATAAAACATTTTAACATCATAACTTCGATTTGGCAGGAGATTAAAACACGCGATTCTTCACTCTCCGTTGTCAAAGTGCGCGCGCACATTAACAAGAATCCCGATGAGCATGAGAAAAACAACAACATTGCAGATCAATTAGCAAAATTAGCAGCACAAAAGGGAGATGTATGGCAGCCTGACAGATTGATTGTTCCTGGTGTGAGTGCGGTTCAGACTGTTCCTGTTGACTTGAAACAGTACCAACAAGAACTGTGGAGTTCTGATGGAGAGCTGACACCGCACCTGCAGCAGGACCAACTAGTCAAGGTCACTGAAGGCATGGTTTTGAGAGACGATAAATACATTGTTCCAGAAGCCCTCCAGAAACCAGTGATAAAGTTGTACCACGAGTATGCACACATATCAGCTCCAAAAACACAACAGCTGATACAAAATAATTTCTGGTGGCCACACATGGCATCAGACATTCAAAGGTGGTGTGACACATGCATCGTATGTGCCACCATCAACCAAGGTAAGCCTGGCCGTACAAAGCTGTGTAGACCAGAGCCACCCAAAGGACCTTGGGAGTCACTTCAATTGGATTTTATAGGCCCACTACCCAGTGCCAAAGGGGGGTATCGTGATTGCCTTGTAATAATTGACAAATTCTCCAAATGGGTTGAAGCAATTCCTACTCGCAATAACAGTGCAAGCACAGTGGCACGTGTGGTAGCGAACCAAATTCTCCCACTCTGGGGAGCACCAATCCAAATTGAATCTGACCAGGGCACACACTTCACAGGTCAGGTGATGAAAAACATATGCCAGATGCTGAACATCAAACAAAGATTCCACGTTTCATACAGGCCGCAGAGCTCTGGTATTGTGGAACGTGTTAACCGCACCATAAAAGAAAGCATCTCAAAACAGGTTGCACAGCACAAAAACCAATGGATTGATGCCCTACCCACAGTCCTAACCATACTGCGGGCAACTCCTTCAAAAGCCACAGGTATCAGTCCATTCGAACTCATGACTGGAAGAGTCATGAAGCTGCCCATTGACCCAGAAATTACCCCAGCAGACCTGGGGCCTCTCGTGATTGCAACTCAACAATCCGTGTTAAAGCAACTACGAGAGAGGCTGGAAGTGCTGCATGCACACGCTGCTCTGAAACAGCAGCAGTCAGACCTAACAAATGATGCACAATTCAACCCAAACTCTGAGGTGAAGTTCTCAGAGGGAGACATGGTAATGATACGTGTTTTTGTGAAGCAAGGTGCGTTCACACCCAGATGGCATGGCCCGTATGAAATTAAGGCTGTATGCAACAGCTGTGTGGCTACAACCATTAAAGGGAAACTGCGATGGTATCACATGTCTCAGTGCAAGTCATTTAAAGGTACACAGAATAAATGAATAACTGTCACTAACTTTTCTTCTTGCCTTCCAGGTCGACTGCAGCGATCCCATGGAGGCCAGAGGAAAGGAAAGTGTCCGGGCCCACGTGCATCAGACTGGGCCAGAGGGTTTCACTCGCACACAACCTGATATGTGGGAGGTGGGTGTGGAAATATTCCAAGGGGCCTTTCACACCAAAAATCACAGTCGCACCCAAAGAGACAGCTACATGGCCTCCCGGTATAGTACCGGATCCAAATTGCACACCAAAAATCTGCTGTAGTACAGGTAGCACCCACCCACCTACTGGAAACATTTCAGGATACACTAGAGCACCAAAATTCATGCATAACCTCACTGCCTGGTATCAGCCTAAAATAGATCCAGGTGACACAATAGGCAGCATGTACACTTTACATGAAAACAACAATAATGGCACAGACCCAAAATTATGCTATTATGTTAAACATTTGGAACCTGCAACATATAGGTGCACACATACCGAAACACATAATGACACACATATAAGATTCAAAGAGTTAATGTACGATCTCACATCGTACACACCTAACGAGCCGAAGCCAAAAACTTTTGTGTGGACCAACCGAAAAGAAGGAACGTATTGTGTCGGAGAATGTACATATAGCATAGACAATTTCACCAATCCACACAACTGTTAAGTATTGTTTTAATTTGACCACCTGCGGGTACACTAAACCCAAAATTTGTCCAGAATTACACCCAATTCCTCCTGGCGGACTGATTAGAGGAAACATTAACAAAACTTTGTTACATGACGTAAATTTGGTAATGACACACGTAAATTACAACATTTCCAACATACTTTCTGCCTATACAAAACATTGTAATATTAATGATGAGTCATATGCATGGCTACAGTCACGAATCGATGATTTAATTTCTGATTACAAAGACAGACTTGCCGTCCAAATTCCACCTTCTCGCTCAAAACGAGACCTGCTCAGCAGTATAGCCGGCTTGTTTGGATCAATTAATTCAGCAGCCAACACCTACAAAATAACGAAACAATCCCAATTCTCCACATGGTTGACAGACCAGATGGCCACTGGTTTCCAACACCTCACCAATAGCAATGATAACATTATCAAAGCGGTTCGTTCTGAGGCGCAGGCGCTTCTGACGATCAGCCACACATTGTTCAATCAGACCCGTACCATCGAACGTGACTTAGCCTGTAGATCATATGCACAAGATTTATTCACTGCCACAAGACAAGAAATTTTAGATCTTCGCCTTCACCAGACCCCTAGACATGTTTTAAATGATTTAATTGAAGTTTTAGATTTGCATAGATGGTTCTCTTCAGAAAAGATAAAAAATGTCAAATATTCAGAACTGTTATCCACAATTATGATGTATACTGGAAACGAATGTATTGGTTGCATTGGATTTTTTGCCACTTTTCCTTTAATACACCCAGATCAAGTTTACCCAAATTCCACTACTATTCGCTCTATTGGCATGGTAGTTAAAGATCAGGTAATTAAATGGGATCACCTCACGGGATATATGACTTTGAAGGGTACTGAGACCTTGTTCACCAGTCGCACTTGTTGTCATGAAACTCACAATTATGTTGTCTGCACATGTAACACATTACAGCCTTTCTCCTCCAATGATAGCAAACTCATAAATGTTGAATCGTTGCATGGCCATTCAAATGCTGTTCAGGTGTCTCATACACAGTGGTGCATCATCAGTGAGATGAATTCGTTCACATATGGAGGACTGACCTGTCCTGCTAATCACTCCTTTTGCTTGGAAGTGACAGAGGACTTTTCTATGGGCCAGATTGACATCCTCGGAAGGATGCCAAAGGACGCAGAGGTCTCTCCATGGTGGGACGACACCTTTTATGAACACGGAACACAAGCTTTGGTCGACACGATGGACTTGGTACAGAACATCGTCCTCCAAAAAGAGTATCACCTCTCTCAAGCGCAAGTGGAGACGAACTTGGCGCGAAAGACTGCACAGATCCTGTCTAGCTCATCTACTCGATCGGCACAGACTGCATACACCTGGTGGGACTGGGTACTTCGAGGTTGTGCGGTTGGAAGCGCACTCATCTTCTCCTTTACGCTTTTCCAATGTTGCTACTTCCGACACCTCATCAGATCAGTAAAAGCATCCACCAACACCATCTTAACTCTCAGCCCCTTGAAGCTGCCCACCTTACAAAGACTGAAGTGACACCGCAGGAAACCCTGTGAGTGGCCCACGGTGCCAGAGGAGGGAACTGTAAGGCTGGTGCCGGTATGTCTGATCGACCCCTCAATGTGACAAAAGGCCCTCCGGGGAATTAACACTTGAACTATCCCTTGAATATGTAACTCCCTCTTGCATATGTAACAGGAACTTTGGAGAAGCAGCACGCAGTGCAGCTCACACTTCACACACACTATCTTCCCCACATCCCCCTCCTCCTCACCTGAAATACACTGAAACCTTATGCAATGTTATGTGTGTACAAAAATGTAACTACTCATGTTTGGTGTCTTTTGAAGTATCACAATGCGCCTGGTGACATGGTCTCATTCCCCCAACTATGATGAAAAGCTAAAAGAAGTTATGAAATGTGAGAAAAGTGATGTGTCCCATAATAGCCTCATTCAGACTACCTCCTGTATGTAAAATCAGGCAGACCTCACAGTGTGAGCCCCTGATTAAACAACAAAAATCTAATTATAATGACAGACATCACCATTTGGTAACAATTGAATTATCTGGGTTTATAAGGAAATGCAGCAGAAATGTTCGGGGAGTCTGTAGGTTGACTGCCCACACAACCGCTGTGTGTAATTTTGTTGACAGGTAATAATTTCTACAAATTCTGTGATTTCTGAATTGATATGCTTAACTGATGATTTTATCCTCTGAATTGGATTTGAAATGATTACATCATTACCTGATCAATAAATTGTAAACGTTTGATTTTATTCTAAACCGACTCTGAGAATTGTTTTCCCCCGAGTAGATTATCGGATTCGTATATTTCCACAAGTTTGCGTCAGAGTTTAGTGACGACTAATATCTGATATCAGATTCAAGTGTACTTGAATGAGGAGACGGGTAGTTTCCGTCTAGAATCAGCTAATGCTGTTTGATCTAGATTTGGGTACGTCTAAATACCTCTGTTCTAATTTAATGTTACTTTAGATAAGTGCACGCTACTAAAGTAAATTATTGAATTAAGTTCCTGAGGTGGCATTCAAGGGGGCTGTGTATATGTCTTCGATTTTGTACGTGTGAATTACAGCAAATCCCAGACATTCAGCCAATTACCTCTGTTTTGATAATCGGAAACTGACGAGATTGTGCCGGAGACCTGGTGAGGAACTCGAAGTGATATAGTTTCCTGATCTGAGCGGATAAAATATAATCAGAGTTTAAAGAATAAACAAACCTTCGCTAACGTTTAATGATGCACGGATATCATTAAAACCTTTTCATTTATGGAGTCAGATAATAACGAGATAATACATGAGAAAATATATTGCATTTAATCTTGTTGTGTTGCGTGAAAGGAAAGGCAAGTAATACGCAGAGTAACCTTCTACCGCTGATTGGATGCCGCATTTGGACCAATCGAGCCGGACTTTACAGCGTATACATGTAATTAAAACCTTTTTATTTTTCACATATTTCACTTTATGGAATTCAATTTGGATTTTGCTTTAAATATGCTAAATAAAGCTGGATACTGCTTTTAAAGTCTGGGTGTTTTCATTTTTTTTACCTATGAAAACATTGTTGTGGTGTATGTTTGACAAATCTCCACTCCCAGATAGCGCGCACGCACACACACACACACACACACGTCTGTTTGATGATAGTTTGTAGGAATATGCAGAAGATGCTGGAAAACCAAAGAGTTGCAGGACCTGCAGGATTTTCCTGAAGAACGATGGTCAGTTTAACTACTCAGGACAAACTAGGGACATTTCTGTAAATGCAGTTATTTTGTCTTGTGGACTACATGTAAACATCTGTAAAGTGAAGTAGTTAGGTAGCGTTAAATAACATTTTAGTTAAAAACTTATTTTGTTTTAAATATTTACATTTTCAGATTCTGTAAGGTGTGTGTACAGTAACTTTATGTTTACACACACCTGCATGTGTGTTCTTCTGTAAAGTTGGGTGTGCATATGGTCATGTTAATCTTCTTGTTAGTCATGTTTTAATTTCTAAATGAAAAGAAATTAAATGAACTCCCTGTGACGGAGTGAGGAGGTCATGTGCAGACATTCATGGTGGAAAGATGTTTCGGTTAAAAATTAACAGAATAATCAACAGCGGCGGAGTGGGACCAAAACATCTACCGGGACATTTCGTAGACCACCGGCCCTCGGGGTAAATTATTACCTTTTTTTTTTTTTGTAAAAAAAATATACTAATGTCATAGAACCCTTGCAAAACTATTTTAAATAGATTAAGAAAGCCACCGCTGGTCACATCTATGGTTCCATGTTTAGATCCAGTGAAATTGCTACCTTGGCAAAGGTCGTGTTTTAGGTCTTGTTCTACACACTTAAAGCAGTTAATACCCTGCAATCTGCAATCTCACCACTAGAAGACACTGCACAAATGCTTGGTTTAGAATAGATTATAGAGGGAAGTTTGTGTAGGTTTCTTCAAAAAGGTTCCCTGTGAATAAGTAAATGCTGAAATCTAAAACTAAATAAAATGACTGCACAACTAAGTGAAATACCAAGTGTAATTATTATTATTTAAAAGATCTTGAAGTCAACAACATACAATAATAACAGAAAAAATCAAATGACAAACACATTTTTCCCCAAACATTTTGGAGCATTTCGCTGCCTCCTCCTCCTCCATCATTTTTCTCCTTTGAGTCAAACCTTCTCAGCGCCATCTTTCCCTTTTCTTTTTTGCCTTTCCGTCATTTAGACTCACTCACACACTGTCTGTTAACGTTAGACTTCCAAAACGTGATGAGGAAAAAAAGAGGTGTTCGATGGCTTTACGCCACAGGCCGACAGGCTATGCCATTTGGGGAGGGGCCGTTTCACTGATCCCACTATATTTTAGAAAATCCTAGACATGGTTGGACCTGCACAGAATACCCCCGTGCCCCTGCACTCCTGACCCTGCACTCCTGTCCCTGCACTCCTGCCCCTGCCCCTGCACTCCTGCCCCTGCACTCCTGCCCCTGCCCCTGCACTCCTGCCCCTGCACTCCTGCACTCCTGCCCCTGCCCCTGCACTCCTGCACTCCTGCCCCTGCACTCCTGCCCCTGCACTCCTGCCCCTGCACTCCTGCCCCTGCCCCTGCACTCCTGCACTCCTGCACTCCTGCCCCTGCACTCCTGCCCCTGCACTCCTGCCCCTGCCCCTGCACTCCTGCACTCCTGCACTCCTGCCCCTGCACTCCTGCACCTGCACTCCTGCCCCTGCACTCCTGCCCCTGCCCCTGCACTCCTGCACTCCTGCCCCTGCACTCCTGCCCCTGCCCCTGCACTCCTGCCCCTGCACTCCTGCACTCCTGCCCCTGCACTCCTGCACCTGCACTCCTGCACCTGCACTCCTGCCCCTGCCCCTGCACTCCTGCCCCTGCCCCTGCACTCCTGCCCCTGCACTCCTGCCCCTGCCCCTGCACTCCTGCCCCTGCACTCCTGCCCCTGCACTCCTGCACTCCTGCCCCTGCACTCCTGCCCCTGCACTCCTGCCCCTGCCCCTGCCCCTGCACTCCTGCACTCCTGCCCCTGCACTCCTGCCCCTGCACTCCTGCCCCTGCCCCTGCACTCCTGCACTCCTGCCCCTGCACTCCTGCCCCTGCACTCCTGCCCCTGCCCCTGCACTCCTGCCCCTGCACTCCTGCCCCTGCACTCCTGCCCCTGCACTCCTGCACTCCTGCCCCTGCACTCCTGCCCCTGCCCCTGCACTCCTGCCCCTGCACTCCTGCCCCTGCCCCTGCACTCCTGCCCCTGCACTCCTGCCCCTGCCCCTGCACTCCTGCCCCTGCACTCCTGCACTCCTGCCCCTGCCCCTGCACTCCTGCACTCCTGCCCCTGCACTCCTGCCCCTGCACTCATGTGGAAAGAGAGAGAGTTCAGCAGTTTCCAACACTGTGGATGAAAAGAGAAATGGACTTGCAGCAGAGAGAGCAGAAACGCTTGTCTTCACGGGACAGAATTTGTCATTGCTGATTAAGTGAGCATTCACAGGTCATGAGTGGTGTGACCAAGTTGTTTAACCAACTTTTTATTAGTTTATTCTCAGGTTCAGCTGCTGTTTTATTTTGAATTCTGTTTGGAGGACTTTGCACTTAATATATTGTTTACAATGTTTGGTTATAGTTTGATTACTATTTTATGTTCAACCAATACACTCTTGTTTCTGCGGCTACATTTTATTTATTTTAATTTAAGAAGTTTGATTGCATTCTGTTTTAGATTTGAATGCACAATTGTTTTTTTTTTTTATTACAAATAAAAATAAGAATTCAAATATTTTTTTTAAATGTTTACAATGTTTGGTAACTGTTTGATTACTATAGTATGTTTGACCAATACACTATTTTGTTTCTACTGCTACATTTTATTTATTTACATTTATTTTAAGAAGTTTGATTACATTCTATTTTCGATTAATTTTTAAATAACAAATAAATAAGAATTCAATACATTACATCTATGTTATTTTGTCTGAGTTAAGAAAGTCTGGTGCCTTTAGTCTCTTCCACATGGTGGAAGGAAGGTATACGCTGGAAGTATACAGTGTATTATTAATTCAACAACAGTATCGGGTCGGTATCGGGTATCGACAGATGCACAAAGCCCAGGCATCGTCATCGGGATCGGGACTGTTAAAGTCGCATCGGTGCATCTGTTTTTAACTATGCTGTAAAGCTGTGTTTTCCAGTGTGTTCGTGTTCAAACTAAAAAAATAATTTATTTTTAATTATTAAAAAATGCCATTATTTTATATGAAAAAGTTAATTGTATTTTATTGAGGACATGTTTTGTTTGTCTTGTATATATATATATTTTTTAGATTTTTAATAGTTTATTTTAAAGGATTTTTCAAGTTAAAACAGAACAAACACTGGCTCAGACTACACACACACACACACACACACACACACACACAAGAAAAAGAAAAAAAGGAAAGAATGAGAAAAAAATTATAATATATAATTGGTCCAATATATAAAAGTGCAATAGTATAAGCTGCAACAGCTGAACCCTTAGAGAAGTCACTGCGGTCCGACTGAGCGGTTAAACGCCCAAGAAGTGAACGACCCCAAACAGCGGAAAACCTTTCAATAGAATCAGAGATCATGTCCATAATCCATAATCCCAGCATTAGATAGCATGAGAAACAGTATCCTCTGCCAGCTTACACCTGTCACACAGTGAAACAGAGCGGGAACTTTATGCAGTTTGGCTTGCTGTAATGTGGTGAATAAAGTGACTTGGATCAGTTGGAGTCTGCTGTTGACTGTATCGTAGCCAAGCACTTGTCCCACGAGAGCTCCACTCCCAGGCCTCTTTATCTTACAGTAGGGGCTTTCAAATAAACAAACACATTTAGAAATGAGATGCCTAGAGCCAGGAGGATTAAAAAAAAACATTAAGAAAAGACATGCTTCTCCGGGAGGAGTTCAAAATTACAAATTTTGGATTTAGATCACTTGGCGTGTCACTGAGAAACGTGGAATACCACAATACTTAAAGGCTGTGATATTGTCAGGCTTTTATTTACAGCGCAGTAAGCTGATTGCCTGCACAGAATATGACGCCATTATAATATAACAATGCAACATAACGACAAAGTTGGCAGTGGCTTCATAAATTAACTAAAAACATAAAAAACAAAGTAGCCTACACCTGATGCAGATTTCTTTGTTCTTCATTTTCTGGAACAAGAGTTTAAGAACCTTGCTGTATTTTTGTGTAATTAATTAAGAGAAAGTACTCCGCCATACTACGAAGAAAGTGACGTGAACACACCTGTAAACAGCACTTCCCACTCGTACCTACGAACTTCCCAGGAGGACTTGAACGCACCATGTCATTAGTGATCGTGTGTTGAGCAGCCATTGATCATCACAGAAGCTGCTCGTGTTTGAATGAAACTCGGCTAAACCCGCGACGGAGAAGGAGAGTTTGACAGCAGACATGAGGAGGAATAAAGCGGACGTGGAGAGATATATTTCTGCATTTCAAAGCTCCTCTCCCTCTCAGAAAGAGGTAAGATGCCAGGAATAAGACGTCGATGTCTTCATTGTGATTTACATAGTATGAACTTTCCTTAAGTAGTTCCTTGTTTCAAAGTCGCTCAGCTTCGCTTTTCTCTTTTCCACGCAAATGTTGTCAGAAACGCCTCAGTGAAGTGTCTTTCAGAGCTGTTAGGGTCTGTTTACACACACCTGTCCACTTCAGGCGTTTTTACTGATCAGACCGCTATCTGATTTATCAAAACTATTTGATTTACAAATGGTAAATGTGTCCCCGCAAATATAAATCCGACCTTCAATTCCTGCTCTATAGGTTATGCAGATTTAATGGAGTTCACGTCACCGAAAGCAACAGATATGAGCTGGAATTTATTGATCAACCGCTAATTTAAAAACTAAAGACCGCAATAGGAGAGAGCGACAACAGCACTGATACAATCATTTAGTTCCTTTTCTCTTAATTATGACGACTGTCTATTGGACATCAGCAACTTCTTACTTTCACTTTCATTTCCTGCAGTTTGCTGAATAGATACCTAACCCGTAATAGATACCTTACCCGTAACAGTAATGTATTCGTACATTTTGGTCATGTCATGACTTGACGAACTGACGTCTACGTCGCATGCCCGTAATTTCATTACCATCAAATAACCAACTCACAACGCCGCCACACTAACTCGTTCTCCTGAGATTACCAAGAACGTTTGTTCAAGGTCACTCATTTATATAGCACCTTAAAACAACATTTCTGATTCAAGATGCTTCACAGAAACACAATAAAAATAATAATAACAGAGTACCATTTTTTAAAACCATTTTAAAATAAAGACTAACAAATGGAAGTAAAATAATGCCAAATGTTTTTGAAACAAAAAAGCCTGTTGAATTGCACTACTTGGAAAAAAAATATGCATTGCATCAACCATGCTTGGATTTGAATGCATTTTATTTTTAGGGTTTGCATTTTTATGGGCTGAAATTCAACATGGTTGAATATTTAAGCTGTGAATATAATTACAAATACATGATGTAGAGAGCCGGCATCCACTAATTTTGAGTTACAAAACGCCCGATTCCTTTGCTGCATTTCATTATATAGACAGAAACCTCTTTCACATGGAAACATGTGCTAACAATGGGAATTTGCATTCAGAGGTTACACCTTTTGAGAGCAGAGGACCATTTTCCTGAAAGTCACACCCTTCTGTGTGCAAGATATTTATAAACTCTTAAGAACTTTATTACCTTTGGGTTTACTTCTTTTGAAATGAGACATTTATATAATATTATATATTTAGTATATTTTAACTCATATTTATCTCAGGTTAATGAAAATGTGTGAATTTGTCCGTTTAAGTGCATGAGATGAGAAATAATTTGATGGCGTTTTAATTGCATGTGTTTTAGCCAATTACGATGTGTAAGACTGGAAAAACTGGAACTGGAAGAGAGGGCAACTCTCTGAGAGAACAAAGGACATTACCATTTGAACTCACTCTTGTAAGAGTTTATAAATATCTTGCACACAGAAGGGTGTGACTTTCAGGCAAATGGTCCTCTGCTCTCAAAAGGTGCTCTCAAATTCCCATTGTTATCACATGTTTCTTTGTGAAAGAGGTTTCTGTCCATATAATGAAATGCAGCAAAGGAATCAATTAGTGGATGCCAGCACTCCGCATCATGTATTTGTAAATGTCAGGTTTAACATACATCTTTTACTCATTTGATGTTATTGTTTTGATTATCTTTGAACTGACTATGAAATTGACATGATGAATTTACTTGAGATAATAAATTGTAAACATTTAATTTTATTCTAATCGACTCTGACATTATTTCCAGTAAAGAGTTAAAAAGAATATTCAAACATTTGCTCACATTTAATGATGCACAGATATCATTAAAACCCTTTTCAATGAAGTCAGATGAAATAACAAGAAAATACATATGAGAAAATGTATTTAATTTAATCAAAATACTTTGCCACGTGGAAAGACAGTAACACGCAGAGACCTTCCCCGCTGATCGGATGCTGCCGTTGGATCGACCGAGCCGGGCTTACACAGTATATCAACTTAACACTATGCAGACTTGCTCTAACGTCTGACTTTATTCTCTTCTGGCATGAAAATCCTCTTTTGCACACTGTCGCAGATGTTGGGAGCACCAGCATTATAATCTGCTGGAGGTGGTGCCTTTTCTTTTTCCTGTTTATGTTGGCTCATTGGTTCGTCCCTTCCACCAGCATCCTCGCCCTCCACACTTTCAAGCTGGCAGTTATAAAACCTCTTATTAAGAAACCACAATTAGACCCAAATAACCTAGCAAACTACAGACCTATTTCAAATCTTACATTTATGTCTAAAATATTAGAAAAAGTTGTGTCCGCTCAACTCGGCTCTTTCTTGCAAGAAAACGACATCTATGAAAAGTTTCAGTCTGGATTCAGGCCACATCATAGCACTGAAACTGCGCTTGTTAGAATCACAAATGATTTACTTTTAGCTTCGGACCAGGGCTGTATCTCAGTACTAGTTTTACTTGATCTTAGTGCTGCGTTCGACACTATAGATCACACAATACTCTTAGATCGACTACAAAATTACACTGGTGTTCAAGGACAAGCATTAAGCTGGTTCAGATCATATTTATCTGACCGCTACCATTTCGTCTACTTAAATGGAGAAAAATCGATCGTAACTTCGGCAAATTATGGAGTGCCGCAGGGATCTGTGTTAGGCCCTTTATTATTCTCAATATATATGCTGCCACTTGGTAATATTCTAAGGAAACATGGAATTAGTTTCCATTGTTATGCTGATGACACTCAAATATATATTTCATCACGGCCAGATGAATACGCAAAATTATCCAAATTGACAGAGTGTGTTAAAGATATAAAAGATTGGATGACGCGTAATTTTCTTTTATTAAATCCAGACAAGACAGAGGTAATACTTATCGGTTCTAAAAACCGTCCACAAAACCTTTCACAGCACGACTTTAATATATTAGGATGCCCTGTTACTTTATCCGCTACAGTAAAAGACCTGGGTGTTACACTAGACTGCAACCTGTCTTTTGAAAAGCATACTTCATATGTTACAAAAACAGCCTTTTTCCACCTTAGAAACATTGCTAAGCTACGTAATATGCTATCAGTCTCTGATGCAGAAAAGTTAGTTCATGCATTCATGACCTCGAGACTAGATTACTGTAATGCTTTATTAGCTGGTTGTCCTGCATCTTCAATAAACAAGCTACAGTTAGTCCAAAATGCAGCCGCTAGAGTTCTTACTAGATCAAGAAAATATGATCATATAACACCGATTTTATCGTCACTTCATTGGTTACCTATAAAGTTCCGTATTAATTACAAGGTATTGCTTTTGACCTATAAAGCTCTAAATGGTTTAGCTCCAGTCTATTTAACGGATCTTCTATCGCCCTATAATCCATCGCGCTCTTTAAGATCACTAAATTCGAGGCTTCTGGTCATTCCTAGGATATCCAGATCCACCAAAGGAGGGAGAGCATTTTCACATTTAGCTCCAAAACTCTGGAATAGCCTTCCTGATATTGTTCGTTGCTCAGACTCGCTCTCCCAGTTTAAAACTAGACTAAAGACGCATCTTTTTAGTCAGGCATTCATATAAAATTTTTATCTTACAGTTACTGTAAATTCGGCCTCTACTTCATAAACGCCAGAGGAGAACTGGCCCCCACTGAGCCTGGGTTCTCCCAAGGTTTTTTTTTCTCCGTCGGGTCATCTGATGGAGTTTTAGGACACCATCAGGTCACTTGACGGAGTTTTTCGGTTCCTTGCCACTGTTGCCTTTGGCTTGCTCAGTTTGGAGATTTTCAAATTAAATGACCCATCATACCATTGACTAGCTCTACCAAACTTGGATGTCTTTTTTCCAGTAATAAACAAACACTCTTAGGTTGTTTTGATTGATACTGTGAAGCAGCTTTGATACAATCTGTATTGTGAAAAGCGCTATATAAATATATTTGATTTGATTTTGTTTTTTAAAGTAACCCGCTATTGACCTCTTAATTTTTAGACAACTTAATTTCTAAATTTCCTGAATCCCTAATTTTGATCCCTAATCAGTGCGCCATATGTGTGTACGTGACAGATAATAGGGACTTTAAAGCTGCAGTCTGTAACTTTTGGAGCTTTAGCGGTTAATAAACAGAACTGCATGTGTTTTGCGGAAGAACATTGTAGCCGGAGCTGCTTCTCTGAGTTTATGTCTATGACGAGCCACGCAGGTACTGGGCTACTCCGCAGCGGTGCCGACCCAACCAATAGCGGCTTTTCCACTGTCGGGCTAGTGCGAGCAGGGATTTAGCGGCGGGGCGGGGGTAATATAGCCTCGGACCTGGAGCACCAAGCCCATAACCACACTGCGTTTCCACCGTCAGGTGCTTCACTATAAACCCGCTCTTAACACGCCTCTCTGGAACAAACCCATCAATTCACCATGACATGGAAGTTTTATCAGAAAGAAATCACTGGAAACTAGCGAGATCGTAAAACGAACATGAAAAAAGCGTTCAAAATTTCTAGCAATATATGCACTTCTAAGACCTGACCTGAAGTAACCATCAACAATTTATTTAACCCTTCTATCATTTCTTGTTAGAGTTAGAGTCTGGAGGCAACTTGCGTTTGTCTTTGCGTTCCTTTTGGGATTCCCTTTCTCAGCGGTCTTGTCGTGTCTGGATAGATGTCTTGGGCGGCTAATCACGTGGTGTGTTGGAGGATGGATGGAAAATCTTGTGAATGAAGTTGGGAGCTGGAAGCAGGCTTTGCTGTTGAATCGTTGACCGAAACTTTGCAGCAAAACTTAACTTAGAATCGAGACTCTCAACGGAAAAGAAAAGAAACTAAGTAAGAGAAAGAAAAGTGAGACGAGAGTAGCTAGATGGCTTGAATGATATTGTTTAACCCATGTTCTTCTGATCTTGATGTGCCTCTTCATCTGCTCGTCTAACCGTCTACATGTCTCGTCTAAGATTTTAAACTCAAATGTTTGTCCAGCCTCCTGGATGAGTTCTGACCAGTTAGACACTGTCTTTAGTTCAGAGGTGGCTGTTTCTCCTCCTCTCAACGTAATCATGCGTTATCTGTGGTCTCCAGCTCCAAGCAGAGAGTGCAGTTTAGGCCCCATCCACACTACTGCGTTTTATTTCAGAAACAGATAATTAAAACGAATACGATCTCCGTCCACACCAGCGTTTTAGCTGCGTATTAGAATTGATCTCTGTCCACATTAAAACGACTGAAAACGCGGATCACGTGACCATTCACCAACACTGGGCATGCGCGTGCTGGTGTAAACACAACTTCATTGCTAAAATTATCCCACCATGCTCTGGGTTAACCCCAAACCAACGCTCCATGTACGGTCAACGCCGCCGCTGCACACGGGAATCTTCACAGATCGCTGGAATAATAGCTTGACTCCAGCGCATGTAGGCAGTTATAGCGGTTAGGGTTAGGTAAAATGCAGAATTTACTTGTACAACAGCGGCTAGCAAAGATATACGCCATGACTGATGACACCCAATCATAGAGCCGAGCGTGAGCCTCTACTACGTCATCGTTTCTAAAGTCCTCCGTTTGGACCCGTCTACATTAAAACGCCCTCCGGAGATTCAAAACGAAAAACGGATCGGCAGCGTTTCTAAACTTCTCCTATTTGGGTCTCCGTTTTTGCCGGTTTAGTGTGGACGGGAGGTGCAAACATAGCAAAAGGTCTCTGTTTTTAAACGAAAACGCAGTACTGTGGACGGGGCCTTAGACATGATTTCTTATAAGAATGACACATCTAACACAGATTTCAATCAAGCCATCTCCTGAGTTATGAACAGACACACACAATGGTACCAAGCAAGACACCGAAAAATTGAAATTCTGTCACCATTTACTCTCCCTCATGTCGTTCCAAATCCGTATGCCTATTGTTCATCTTTAGAACACAAAGATTTTTTTGATCAAATCTAAGAGATTTCTATCCCTGTATTGACCGCTAGACAACTGAATCTTTGACCCTTCAAAAAGTTAATGAGGAGATCATAAAATTAATCCATGAATTGAGTGGTTGAGTCAATTTTTTTCTGAAGAGACATGATCGCTTTATATGATGAACATGTTGAATTTAGGCTTTTATTCACATATAAGTTTGATCAATTCACACATCAGTTGTGATAAACGGAAGCTCAAGCATGTTCGCTTGTCGTGCAAGAACCAATGAGGTTCATTCTCGTGTTACGCAGCACGTTTGAGCTTCAGCAAGAACCAATGAGGTTCATTCTCGTGTTACGCAGCACGTTTGAGCTTCAGCAAGAACCAATGAGGTTCATTCTCGTGTTACGCAGCACGTTTGAGCTTCAGCAAGAACCAATGAGGTTCATTCTCGTGTTACGCAGCACGTTTGAGCTTCAGCAAGAACCAATGAGGTTCATTCTCGTGTTACGCAGCACGTTTGAGCTTCAGCAAGAACCAATGAGGTTCATTCTCGTGTTACGCAGCACGTTTGAGCTTCAGCAAGAACCAATGAGGTTCATTCTCGTGTTACGCAGCACGTTTCAGCTTCAGCAAGAACCAATGAGGTTCATTCTCGTGTTACGCAGCACGTTTGAGCTTCAGCAAGAACCAATGAGGATCATTCTCGTGTTACGCAGCACGTTTGAGCTTCAGCAAGAGTCTTTGAGGTTCATTCTCGTGTTACGCAGCACGTTTGAGCTTCAGCAAGAACCGATGAGGTTCATTCTCGTGTTACGCAGCACGTTTGAGCTTCAGCAAGAGCCAATGAGGTTCATTCTCGTGTTACGCAGCACGTTTGAGCTTCAGCAAGAGCCAATGAGGTTCATTCTCGTGTTACGCAGCACGTTTGAGCTTCAGCAAGAGCCAATGAGGTTCATTCTCGTGTTACGCAGCACGTTTGAGCTTCAGCAAGAACCAATGAGGTTCATTCTCGTGTTACGCAGCACGTTTGAGCTTCAGCAAGAACCAATGAGGTTCATTCTCGTGTTACGCAGCACGTTTGAGCTTCAGCAAGAACCAATGAGGTTCATTCTCGTGTTACGCAGCACGTTTGAGCTTCAGCAAGAACCAATGAGGTTCATTCTCGTGTTACGCAGCACGTTTGAGCTTCAGCAAGAACCAATAAGGATCATTCTCATGTTACGCAGCACGTTTGAGCTTCAGCAAGAACCAATGAGGATCATTCTCGTGTTACGCAGCACGTTTGAGCTTCAGCAAGAACCAATGAGGATCATTCTCATGTTACGCAGCACGTTTGAGCTTCAGCAAGAACCAATGAGGTTCATTCTCGTGTTACGCAACACGTTTGAGCTTCAGCAAGAACCAATGAGGATCATTCTTGTGTTACGCAGCACGTTTGAGCTTCAGCAAGAACCAATGAGGTTCATTCTCGTGTTACGCAGCACGTTTGAGCTTCAGCAAGAACCAATGAGGTTCATTCTCGTGTTACGCAGCACGTTTGAGCTTCAGCAAGAGTCTTTGAGGTTCATTCTCGTGTTACGCTGCACGTTTGAGTTTCTGCACCTACCTACCCACCTAGACCATGTTGAATGCTTTAAAATAGTATGAGTGATCTTGCTCAGGATTTCTCATTAAGTGCAATAAACCTTGAGTTCCAGCAGCTTTTCCAAAAACTCTGTTCATCAGATGTGCCAGATTCATGAACTCTGTTATAAATGCTCATTGAAGTTCATTCAATTAAATTGAATTGAAGTATAATAGTTTCCTCTGCTCTGTACAGTTAATTAATTTCAGCTTTAGGGTTTACAGTGTTAAAGATTTAAACTGAATATTATATGGGATACAATTCATATATACATAATTACACAGATATTGTTTAATTGTGACACTAACCTGTTTTGTGTCTTGCAGAATTCAGTGAAAGGGTTTCTGTTTGCCAAACTTTACTTTGAGGCTAAAGAATATGAGCTTGCTAAAAGGTAGGCTAACTCCTCTGCTCTGTCTTCTGTGTAATGCCTGGTTTCTCTGTGAACTGATGTTTCTCTCACACCACTGGATCACAGGCATGTTTCGGAGTATTTGACTGTTCAGCCGAAGGATCCTAAAGCGCACCGGTTCCTCGGGCAGCTGTTCGAGCGGGACGGGGAAACGGACAAAGCTGTGGGATATTATAAGGTTCAGATTCCCTTCATTTACTCTGATATGTTTCCCTACTGCATAGTCTTTAGATACACACTTCAGCTGTAGAGTTTAACGCTGATAATGCTGGAAAAATATACATATATACAAAATTATTTGAAAGTTTTCCGCCGTGTCGATACACGGGTAACTCCTGTGTTTCCTTTCTCTCGGACACACTGCAGTCTGTGTGTTGATATTCAGTGATATAGTGTGTTACTGCATGTTTCAGAGTGAAGCGCGGCACTGTGTTCATTTACACGCGCTCAGCTCATGATCCGGTGTTTCCAGCGTCTCAGAGCGGCTTCACAGTGAGTGAATGCAGTGAACTCCATCTGTACATGAGCTGCCAGTCCAAACCTGCTCTGGTTCATCAGCTCAAGCTCTTATTACCTTTTAATAACCAAATAATAGTAAGAAAAATAAAAAACCTTTAGATATCAATCTGCGTATACGATAAACATCGGTTAGGTTCATCTTTAGTAACTCTATCTTGAAACGGCTCTATATTGAAGCGCTTACAAAACACCCGAACCAGAAGCTATGAGACCTGTTTTACAGTAACCTGTGTTGGTTTATCTCGAGGATATCAGATTCTCTCTCCTCACATTCAGTTATAACACAGTTAGTCTGTGTGAAGCACATCAGGATTATTCTGCCCTTTGTTTCCAAGGTCGTTGTATTGTTGAACTTCTAACGCAGTTTTAAAGTTTAAGCATGTAATGCTGATGTTTGTTTCTGAACTCCAGCGTTCAGTGGATCTGAATCCGGCTCAGTCAGACCTGGTTCTGAAGCTGGCGGAGCTGCTGTGCGGGAAACCGGAGCCTGACAACCGGGCCGAGTTCTGGGTGGAGAAAGCTGCCAAGCTGCTGCCAGGACATCCCAACGTCTTCAACCTGAGGGTCAGTGTGCGCTTCCGATCCCATCCACATCCCATCCCATCTGTCCTCTGAGTTCACCCTCTCTCTCTCTGATGCAGGAGAAGCTTCTGAGCACACGAGGACAGAACGGCTCCATCCAGCTGTACGAGCTGTTTCAGTCTGAGTGCAAGCTGCGGCCCGACGACTCCGACATCAATGGCCGGCTGGTGCGTCTGTACAGCGCAGACGGCCGGCACGACGAGGCGGTGAAGCACTGTCTGGAGGTGGAGAAGACAGGCCTTCTGAAGGACCGTCTGGAGTGGTACGAGCTTCTGGTCAGCACCCTTCAGGTCAGTGATCGTCTCATCTCCTCTTATGTTAGACAAGCTGACTATTATATGCGTTGCTTTTTGTGAGTTTACCCAAAACTTGACAATTTGCTCATTTATTCCCCTTCATTCATTAAATCCATAAGACTATTCTTCATCTTTTAAAACACACATAGTATTGTTTTTAATACAATCTTTATTTGAAGCATCAAGTTATTTTCAATAGGTGTTGTATTTTGTGTTTGATGTGACTATGAAAGGTTTGAACAGATCAGGGGAAGTTGGTGATATTGAGAGAGTGATCAGTCTTCTGTGTTTCAGGAGTATCTCTGCCAGCCGAGCGTGGCGTCGAACGAGCAGGCGTCGCGCAAGTTTCACAAGGAGCTGCTGCTGGCGCTCTGCAGCCGCGTCCGACTGACGCTGAAGGAGAAGAGCTGCGAGGAGAGTGCTGATGCTCTCTGGAGGTACGCTAACACCAGCCTTTCGGGACACTACCACAACACTGCACACATGCTCCAAGATTTCACCAACTCAACGTATAATCTTATTATCACTTTAATGTGTGGTGAAGGATCGCTGTTGAACCGATCATCTCTTCCTCTATACTACTAGTTACAGCAGCAAATAAACAACAATGAACCTCAGAAGGATCAACTTACTGAAATCAATCATGTTTCAGTCAATTTAAGACAAGAGTCAGAATTATAATAAATTAAAGATTTGTTTTTACTGAAGATAGTTAAGAGTTTCATTGGCAGAAGTCAGCTTCAAGACCTCTCAAGGAGTTCGTAGGCTCCGCTTACAGTTACAAAGATCACAGTAGTTATACCCTTCACCAAGGTCTACGCTACATCCTTGCTTTAGGTTGAATGTTTCTGATTGGCTAAGAAATAGATAAACAAACATTTTCCACATATGGACTGTTAGACTAAAGCATTTCTCCATCGATTATGCGGCTGACACTCGGACCCTGAATTTAGGCAAGTCGTGACCTTCTAGGTCGCAGATCTGGGTTTCTAGTCGCCAACATGTCGAAGAAAACAAGTTGGTCAATCTCCAATAATGCAACTTGTTCCTTAACCTGTAACCAAGAAGACTAACACACACACACACACACACACACACACACACACACACACACACAGCTTCTTCAATGTTGGATTTGGTCGGGCTCCAACGATAAACAGGAGAGTCTTCTCAAAATATCAAGATAACATGTTCTTTCTCTCAAGGAGAGGACACTTTAATATAACACAGTAAAGTAAAGACTTTAAATAAGAAATGGTCACTTAAACTATTGGTTCCAAGCTAGAAGAACAGATTTATATTTTAACACGTTGAAGACCTTTCTCAAACAAAACAAGTCCATTTTTCATTTCTGGAAGCCGGGCTAAATGATCAAGCACTGTTACTGCATTCATATCAAATACAGACATTAGAGAATGATTGAAAATAACATTCCAGTAATCACACTGGTAACTTCTGTAACTTAGTAAAATCACATAAGCTTAGAGTAGTCATTCGGGATTCAGCGGAAGAAGGACTCACGCCATCCACCGGTCTCCCCTGACTCCTGCCCTCACTACGAACGCATAATGAAGTTCAGGAACTTAACTTCCCTCCGTCAACAGGGGACCGACATGAGGCAGTTTGCCCCGAGGTTCAGCGTGGCTGCAGAGGGACTGAGGCTTGGGGATGTGGCTCTAAATGACGTGTTTTTTTTATTATGCCCTTGATGAGCCCTGCAACTACTGGAGGATGAGAGGGCTGGAGGATTTGACGTTTGGGGAATTTGTTAATTCCCTTGTTCGTCAAGGGAATCCTCCGGCTAGGGAAGCTACTGTTCCCCCAGAAGTGGCAGCCTTTGCGGCAGCGTCTCCAGAGGCCGTAATTCCCACACAGCCTCTGGAGGTAATTCCCACACCGCCTCAGGAGCCTTCCTCCTCCTGCGCTTGCGAGGGCAAGCGCAGGAGGAGGAAGGCTCCTGTTTCTTCCCCTATTTCGGTGGTCTGGGAGGAACCGACTTCGGGGGTTTCAAGTCCGGTGGTCCAGGAGGACCCGACTTCGGGGGTTTCAAGGCTGGTGGTCCAGGAGGACCCGACTTCAGGGGTTTCAAGGCCGGTGGTCCAGGAGGACCCGACTTCGGGGGTTTCAAGGCCGGTGGTCCAGGAGAACCCGACTTCGGAGGTCTCAGGTCTAGTGGTCCGGGAGGACCCGACTTCTGGGGTCTCAACTCCTGTGGTTTTGGAGAACCTGACTTCGGGAGTCTCAAGTCCGGTGGTCCGGGAGGACCCGACTTCGGTTGTCCCAGAGCTGTCCACTCTCCCTGTCGCGCCCCCAGTGGTGGCTGATGAGGCTGCAGCACCGCCGAGCTCTTGTAAACAGAGGTGGAGGAGAAAGGCTTCCTCCGTCCCACAAGGCCTTGAGGCCATGCCCAAGCTCCTTGCACTGCCGGTGCCACCCAAGCTCCTTGTCCTGCCTGCGCCACAAGCTCCTTACCCTGCCGGCTCCGCTCAAGCTCCTTACCCTGCCGGCTCCGCTCAAGCTCCTGGAGGCCGCCCTTCCGGAGTTTCGTCTCGTCGTGGCCACTCATCCAGAGCCTCTTCACGTCAGGCCTGCCGAGCCAGAGCTACTTCACGTCATGCCTGCCGAGCCCGAGACGGTTCACGTCATGCCTGCCGAGCCCGAGACGGTCCACGTCATGCCTGCCGAGCCCGAGACGGTCCACGTCATGCCTGCCGAGCCAGAGACGGTCCACGTCATGCCTGCCGAGCCAGAGACGGTCCACGTCAAGCCTGCCGAGCCAGAGACGGTCCACGTCATGCCTGCCGAGCCAGAGACGGTCCACGTCATGCCTGCCGAGCCAGAGACGGTCCACGTCATGCCTGCCGAGCCAGAGACGGTCCACGTCATGCCTGCCGAGCCAGAGACGGTCCACGTCATGCCTGCCGAGCCAGAGACGGTCCACGTCATGCCTGCCGAGCCAGAGACGGTCCACGTCATGCCTGCCGAGCCAGAGACGGTCCACGTCATGCCTGCCGAGCCAGAGACGGTCCACGTCATGCCTGCCGAGCCAGAGACGGTCCACGTCATGCCTGCCGAGCCAGAGACGGTCCACGTCATGCCTGCCGAGCCAGAGACGGTCCACGTCATGCCTGCCGAGCCAGAGACGGTCCACGTCATGCCTGCCGAGCCAGAGACGGTCCACGTCATGCCTGCCGAGCCAGAGACGGTCCACGTCATGCCTGCCGAGCCAGAGACGGTCCACGTCATGCCTGCCGAGCCAGAGACGGTCCACGTCATGCCTGCCGAGCCAGAGACGGTCCACGTCATGCCTGCCGAGCCAGAGACGGTCCACGTCATGCCTGCCGAGCCAGAGACGGTCCACGTCATGCCTGCCGAGCCAGAGACGGTCCACGTCATGCCTGCCGAGCCAGAGACGGTCCACGTCATGCCTGCCGAGCCAGAGACGGTCCACGTCATGCCTGCCGAGCCAGAGACGGTCCACGTCATGCCTGCCGAGCCAGAGACGGTCCACGTCATGCCTGCCGAGCCAGAGACGGTCCACGTCATGCCTGCCGAGCCAGAGACGGTCCACGTCATGCCTGCCGAGCCAGAGACGGTCCACGTCATGCCTGCCGAGCCAGAGACGGTCCACGTCATGCCTGCCGAGCCAGAGACGGTCCACGTCATGCCTGCCGAGCCAGAGACGGTCCACGTCATGCCTGCCGAGCCAGAGACGGTCCACGTCATGCCTGCCGAGCCAGAGACGGTCCACGTCATGCCTGCCGAGCCAGAGACGGTCCACGTCATGCCTGCCGAGCCAGAGACGGTCCACGTCATGCCTGCCGAGCCAGAGACGGTCCACGTCATGCCTGCCGAGCCAGAGACGGTCCACGTCATGCCTGCCGAGCCAGAGACGGTCCACACCAGGTCAGCCGTGCCTGTGTCTTCGGACAAGATTGCCGCCCCGTCCCTGAAGCGTCCGATCCGCTCTGGCCCCCTGAAGCGTCGGCTCCACCCTGGACGCCTGCCTGGCCTGCTCTGCCCTGGGCTCATGCTCCACCCTGGACGACTGCCCGGCTTGCTCCGCCCTCGACGCCTGTCAAGCCTGCTCCGCCCTGGCCGCCTGCTGAGCCAGCACCACCCTGGCCCTCAGCCAGGACTCCAGATCCTCCGGAGTTCGCCTGGTCTGTCCCCCTGGCTCCACCCTGGCCCTTAGCCAGGACTCCAGATACGCCAGAGCCTCCCTGCTCCCTCCTCTCTTTGTCTCTGTGTTTTGATCTGCCTGTCTTGTCTGTTGTTGTGTTCGGCCTTGTACCGTTATGTTCCTGTCTCGTTTTTGATGTCCCTTGTTAGGGACGTGTCCCTTTGAGGAGCGGTAGTGTCAGGGTTCTGTCACTTCTGTCTAGTTTATATCTTGATTTGGTGACAGAGCTCTGACACTCCCAGTTTGTCATGTGCTTGTGTTATAGTCCTGTCTGTTGTGAGCACATGGCTGGTCATGTGTTTCCTTGTGCCATGTGCTCTCCTGTCGATTGTCTAGCTCCTCCCATCTTGTTACCTGATTATTGATTGATTTGCCCCACCTGTCTTCCCTCGTTGCCCTCTTTTGTTTGCTTCCCTATTTATTCTACCTGTGTTTGCAGTCCTGTGCTGGTTCGTCATCTATATATCCTGGGGTCCCGTGTCCTGCCATAGTTCTGGTGTATTTTGATGCCTGCTGTAAGAGCCTGGTATGGTTCTATTATTCTAAACATATTTTTACGGTCACTTACGGTAATTAAGGCACTTGGTGGTGGTGGAGGAAGTAAGAGCATATCATCTTCTCACCTGTGTGGTTCGTCAGAGGGAGAGAGGGGGTGACGGGGGAAGTCTTATTTTGTTGACCGCTGTAAAACGCATTTCTAACGCAAATAAATCTACAAAACGCAGTCTTTGGATCCCTGATCATTGAGCAAGCGTGTCTGGCAAATTAGTTTCCCCTACTCAGCTTCTCGGCCGACAAATTATTATGGCTTTTGAGATTGTCGCCCACACCTGCTTTGTTATTCCACCCGTGACACAATAACCATAAACCTGTAGTCAGCTAGAAAAATAACTCTAGAGAGGGGTTAGGGTTAAATATACTCACTACTACACAGGGCTCCGAACCAATTCAAGGAACAAAAACAAAAAAACAGAAACTAAAAATTTTTTAACAGGAACAAACAAAAACAAAATCAATTTTAAATGTTCTGAACAGAAACGCTTATTTGAAATTACCATTAACTGGTTAATAACGTTATTTTATCGTTCTGTTTAATATTTTAATTTGGCAGTCAACCAATCATGAATTGAAATGCAAATGTGACATTGACAATGTGAGTGAAATGCCTGCGCCCGGTTGTCAAGTCATCGTATATAATGTGCTGGCATTAGCTGTTGAATCGCAGGAGTTTATTATTCGAGGATATGTTACTATGGCAGGTTATACACTCACCTAAAAGATTATTAGGAACACCTGTTCAATATCTCATTAATGCAATTATCTAATCAACCAATCACATGGCAGTTGCTTCAATGCATTTAGGGGTGTGGTCCTGGTCAAGACAATCTCCTGAACTCCAAACTGAATGTCAGAATGGGAAAGAAAGGTCATTTAAGCAATTTTGAGCGTGGCATGGTTGTTGGTGACAGACGGGCCGGTCTGAGTATTTCACAATCTGCTCAGTTACTGGGATTTTCACGCACAACCATTTCTAGGGTTTACAAAGAATGGTGTGAAAAGGGAAAAACATCCAGTATGCGGCAGTCCTGTGGGCGAAAATGCCTTGTTGATGCTAGAGGTCAGAGGAGAATGGGCCGACTGATTCAAGCTGATAGAAGAGCAACTTTGACTGAAATAACCACTCGTTACAACCGAGGTATGCAGCAAAGCATTTTTGATGCCACAACACGCACAACCTTGAGGCGGATGGACTACAACAGCAGAAGACCCCACCGGGTACCACTCATCTCCACTACAAATAGGAAAAAGGGCTCAGTGTTGAAGTTGAAGACAGTTGAAGACTGGTAAAATGTTGCCTGGTCTGATGAGTCTCGATTTCTGTTGAGACATGGAGATGGTAGAGTCAAAATTTGGCGTAAACAGAATGAGAACATGGATCCACCATGCCTTGTTACCACTGTGCAGGCTGGTGGTGGTGGTGTAATGGTGTGAGGGATGTTTTCTTGGCACACTTTAGGCCCCTTAGTGTCAATTGGGCATCGTTTAAATGCCACGGCCTACCTGAGCATTGTTTCTGACCATGTCCATCCCTTTATGGCCACCATATACCCATCCTCTGATGGCTACTTCCAGCAGGATAATGCACCATGTCACAAAGCTCGAATCATTTCAAATTGGTTTCTTGAACATGACAATGAGTTCACTGTACTAAAATGGCCCCCACAGTCACCAGATCTCAACCCAATAGAGCATCTTTGGGATGTGGTGGAACGGGAGCTTCGTGCCCTGGATGTGCATCCCACAAATCTCCATCAACTGCAAGATGCTATCCTATCAATATGGACCAACATTTTTAAAGAATGCTTTCAGCACCTTGTTGATTCAATGCCACGTAGAATTAAGGCAGTTCTGACGGCGAAAGGGGGTCAAACACAGTATTAGTATGGCGTTCCTAATAATCCTTTAGGTGAGTGTATCTAGGGATGGGCATTTTTCAAAAATATTGCATTTGAATATTCAAGCTCACGGAAAACGAATATTCGTTTATTTAAATAAGTTTATTGAGAAAGACGTTACTTCAAACAAACGTTAGTTTTTTCACCTATGAACATCTCTGAACAAGCCTATAGTACTATATTAACAAGTTTATACATTTCATCCTTTGAATAATTGTTGAAAACATTAAACAATGTGTGCACACAAAAAAGATATAAGAAATACAGAAGATAGAGCGCACAAAACGCAGAGCGCACTAAAATAACGCCAATAAAGCAGGCTGCCCCAATTATTGTACAGAACGTTTAGCCTACACTCAAGTCTAAATGTTATTGCGTTATTGTTTTACATGTTCTTGTTGAGAAAAACAAGCATATCAACATGCTCGGGCGAAAGTCGGCATCTTAGTCTATTAAGAATAAGGCCGGCTGCAGAGAAAACGCGCCCCGCCGGCAGGGACGCACAAATAACGGTGTCCTAAGCGGCCAAGTTTCTTGAAGCTTTGTGTTGTCTCTCCACCAATTAATAGGATCTTCATCTGTTGGAATACACGGCTCCATCAAGAACTGTTCCCACTCGTCTCGGTTTGACTCTCTGTAATCTTCGCCGAAGAACCGGCTCAGCCTTCTCTGATGACTGGGCACTGGCTCATCCTCTCCATCATTGGTGGCAAAGGCTGCACCCGCACCACTCACATCAAAAGAAATGCTCTGATATTGTTCAAAAAGTTGTTCTCTTACGGTTTCTCTCATGTTTTCGTCGTGGAACCTGAGGTGTTTGTGCCGAGGATCTAGAGCAGACGCGAGAAGAGGCGTTTTCCCTGCGTTCTGCAAGTTAGCGATGTTTATTCGTTGCTTGAGAGATGCTGCAGGTGTGTTTTTGAACTCATTCACTTTCTGTTATTCTCCACCGCTCATCTGAAGGTGTCTCTAGATACAGATTAAATGAAAATCGTTTTTATAAATATTTTTAAATGGAAAGAACCCGACAGAATAATTCAAAAGAGACCAGTAATCAAATTAACTAGAACTAAGTAACATGCTACATTTATTCGTTCATTTGAACTATAGACGCACCTGGATAGAAGGCTTTGCACAAGTGGATACACAATGGAGACAGACACGTAGCTTTCACCACCCAGTGCTTCACTTGCTATTTTGGGGACTGGAGAACTGGTAATATTTCCTCAATTGTCTGCCAATGATCACCGGTTAACTCCAGAGTCTTAGCATCCGCCAGCTTGGTTGTGGTCCTGTCAGAGAGGACAGCGGTGATCGCCCAGCATTGTTCATGCAAAAGTGTGAGCATATCAGCAGCTGAATACAGCGCGTTTTGCAGTATTGCACAAGCTTGTGCGAAGGCAATTCCAACTTTGTTTCTGTTTCAGTGCATTTGAGGCAATCGTGCTATGATGGAAATGTCCAACAAGTTTACTACATGCACCAATGAGTCTATTCATGCTTGCAGCTTTAAATCCATCATTAATGGACAACTGAAGTGTGTGTGCGAGGCAAGGTAGAGATTCCCAGTCCACGTCTCTGTTTGCAGCGACCATATTGCTAGCATTGTCATGCACGCACGCGACCACTTTGCCGTCCAGGCTCCATTGTTCTATAGACCTTTTTGAATAATGAGGGGTCTTCTCGGCTCGCTCGGGGGCCCATCTGGGCCTAACGTTACCTGCAGTCGTGAAAGCAGTGATGGGGAGCTGTCTTTTCGAATAATTATTGCAGATCAAATATTCTAATATTCGTGCACATCCCTAGTTATATCCAGTGTGGTGTGCTTTGAAACCAGCGAAAATTGCAGGTTAGTGTAGAACTGCTACTATTCAGGATATTTAAAAGAGATATATATATATATATATACACATATGCGTGTGTATATGTTTAACCCTCTGGGGTTCTTCGGGTCAAAAATGACCCGAAGCGTTTAAATAAAAAAATGTTAAAAATCGTAGCTTCATCGGAATGGTCCAAAACTTGGTGACTTTTTTGGTACTTGGTATATGAACACCCAAAAAAATTGGGGAAAGGATTTTAAAAGTCTAAGTGGTCGTAAAAAAAATAGTCACACTCAGGGTCTTCGGGTCAAAAATGACCCCCATAGGAAATGAATGGGAAATTGGCAAAAATGTTTGTTTTTTTGTGCATACAATCTACAAAACAGCCAGGATGCAGAAAAAAAGCACACAACAGTGAAGGGGTGAATCTCTTAAAACAATGGGTGACAAAAATGTTTTCCATTTGTTCTCTTTATAATGCAATGTTCAGGTTTGACTGTATTATAAAGTAAAACTGCCACTTAAAATTACCATTTAAACCAACCAAAAAAAAAAAAAAAAAAAAAGACAAATATAGTCTTTGAGAATCTGTTATTATATATTCAAATCAAAAACCTGAAAAAATTAAACAATATGTGAAAAAATCACTAGAGTGTTTCTACCATAGGTTTCTACAGAGAGCTGTAAATCCACTAGTGGTAAAAATGTGCTATTGCGTGATAAAAATGCTCAGTGTGTCCACCAGATGGCTCCGATCTCATTTCAAAAATTGCTTTCATGAGGTCTAGACTTGACTCTAAAATGAAATACAGCTTTAATAAAAATTGTTTTTAATTATATATATATATAAATTTTCTATTATATTCAATGGGAAAAAATGGGTCTTAATTATTGCATAAATATTAATTATAAATTATAAAATTATCTCAAAACACCAAAAAAGAAAAGAAAAAATATTATTGAACAAAAATATATTTCATTGATTTTACTCAAATAAAATGTATCTTAATGCCGCCCTCCGGGTCATTTTTGACCCGAAGGTCCTGAGTGTGAGTCTAAAATGAGGAACCCCAGAGGGTTAAATTATTAAACACCTTGTTGTCAAAGTTAGTATTGTGGCTTTATGTATAGTCAGACTCTTTTCGTTATATTATATTTTACAAAATCAAGCTTGAATGGAGTTTTGATGTGTTTCACCTGCGAAAGTCTGAGATTTGTGTTTTATCCGTCATTAGAACGGACGCATCCGAGTTAGATCTGAATGCATCACATTGTTTTTATTAACTTACAGGTTACAAAGTAATTGTGGCTATATAGCTATATATTTGGCACAGAGCTTGTGTTATAAAAGATGAAGTGTTACGCACAGGCTCTATTGGCTGTGATTAGACAGCAAATATCTGACTAAGACACTCTTCTCCACTCCTTAAATACATAAAACATTAGCCTTTACACACATCCTGTTTTGAATAAAGAAAACGCTGTACTTATTCATAGAACCAGTTCTTTATTTAACCTTTTAGCAAAGACAGTCTCCAAAATGCGTGCAGAACTTCATTCACGATTGAGGCGGATTAAGCTTCTGTATGAGGTTTTGCCGACAGTTTGAGGATCCCACTCGGTTTACTCACAAGCTCTTCGCATAAAGTTTAATTCAAGCTCTGTTATAAAGTATATACTATAGGCAGTCTTTCTGATTTTGGGGGATTTTGCTCAACAGGTTCTATATGTCAGAAAGAAAATATTTTAATTTTCTTTCTTAGTTCCAATCAATAAATCATGTTTTTAATTGGCTGTAATAAGTTCATAGAGCCACTTTGGCTGGTAACTGATGGCAGTTTCCACCCAGACTCATCGATGTCTTTTCTTCAATGTTAGCCTGCTAGATAACGTCAGTGCTTCAGTCAGCAGACTCACGCGTTCATAAATGTTCACGCCATGTTTTTGCTGCAGCTTGGACCGTGCGATGCAGTCTCTGAAGAACACGGCCATGAATACTCTGGACGAGCTGTCGGAGGTGTTCACGGAGACGAGGGCTCAGCTGTACCTGTACGCCGGGACGCTGCTGCTGAAGACGGCGCAGGACGGGGCGCAGCAGTGGAGGGTCGTGCGGGATTTAGCGGCTGTCTGTTACCTCGTGGCCTATCAGGTATGATGTACGCTTCCTCTGCTTCATGCAGCTCGTGTGATCGGCCACTGTACAGTGTAATATCCATTATTTCCTCAGGCTCCGAGACCCAAAGTCAAGAGTTTGAAAGGTGAGCAGGCGTCCCATGAGCCTTTGGAGCTGCTGGCCTCGGACCGCCAGAGTCAGGCGGGTCACATGCTGTTGAATCTGAGCCGGGACGTGGAGCAGCTGCTGAAGGAGGTGGTGGAGGCGTTCAGGAACCCGAACGGGCCGAGACTTCTGTTCGACATGCTTTTCGGCTCACAGGAGCACGACCAGCTCTCCTTCATCTGCAACGACGAGATGCACATGGTCAGCACACACGCGCCCAGCACCGACGATCTGGCCAAGTGGGACAGCGGTGAGTGTCACACACTCTAGATCCAGACCGGTCTAGATCAGCAAAAAAGGGGGCAGATAAACATTGTTGTTTGATTAACATTGACACAGACAGCAGCATGTATTTATAGGCTGCTCTCACTTTAAAGGGTTAGTTCACCCAAATATTTTAATTGTCATCATTTACTCACCCATATGTCGTTCCAAATGAGGTCAATTCTCGTGTTACGCAGCACATTTGAGCTTCCTTGGGGAAACGAGAATGAACCTCATTGGTTCTTTAGGAAGCACATTTAGTGGGTTTGTGGACAAAAGTCCTTTCAAATAAATTGCCATTGGACACATTGTAACAACTGCTTTTAAAATAACGCTTTTGATGCTACATAAAGAGTTAAGGGACCAGAGACTTTCACCTTTCAATGAGCCATGTGTATTACACCACAAATCACCATACAGTCAGTAAACATACAACATACATAGTCATTCAGTTACAAGGGAAACATCAAAATAGTTCTTTTATAGTAGTGTTTTTGGCTACCAAGAGCTCAGTCCTAAGAGTTATAGGAGCAAGATGAAACAGTACTTAAGAGCAATGTTGATGAGGCCGCATCTGCCTGAAACCGAGTTTCCAAGTGGCTGTCGGTAATGTGAAACGGAACTGTAGCTTGTGAAATGAACAATAGATAACAAAGGTGTTGTTGGCAAAACGACAATTAATTAATCCCCTTTTTGGTCAAGGTCCTAGCTATAGTTATAATAATAATAATACATTTTATTTATAACGCACTTTACATCAATTCAATGACCTCAAAGTGCTACAATATAAAACAGAATAAAAACAGAAACATTAAAATAACACTTTTAGCCATAAAAGTCTTTTCTAAAAAAAAAAAGGGTTTTAAGGCCTTTTTTAAAATTGTCCACAGTCTGAGGGGCCCTTAGATGGACAGGGAGAGCATTCCACAGACTGGGTGCAACTGAACAGAAGGCACGGTCACCCATAGCACGAAGCCTTGTCCTCAAAGGCTGAAGGAGATTGGCCTGTCCAGAGCGGAGATGGCGTGATGAGGAAAGGGGGGTGATGAGTTGTTTGAGATATGGTGGAGCAGTGCAATGGAGGCACTGATGGGACAGAAGGGAAACTTTGAATTCAATCCTGTACTGGACAGGAAGCCAATGGAGCGATTTAAGGATGGGTGTGAAATGGTGGTACTTCCGCACGCCCATCAGGATCCTAGCCGCACAGTTCTGGATGTACTGCAGCTGCTTGATGTTCTTGCTTGGGATCCCGATGAGGAGTGCATTGCAATAGTCCAGCCTGGAGGAAACAAAGACATGGACAAGTTTTCGGCATCGGGGAAAGTGAGCATTGGGTGAAGTTTTGCAATGTTCCTGAGATGAAAGAAAGAGGTTTTACAAAGATGTTTAATGTGGGCCTCAAAGTTCAAGTGAGGGTCCATTCTAACACCAAGGTTTGTGACTGAAGGTGAGAGGTGGATATCATGACCAGAGAAGGTGATGCTGGTGATGGTGGATGACCGGGTCTGGTGCGGAGTGCCAACAAGAATGGCTTCCGTTTTTAAGCTGTTGAGTTGCAGAAAGTTAGCCGCCATCCACGTCTTTACCTCCTCCAGGCAGGTTGAAAGTGTGGAAGGGGCTGCAGAAGGGTTAGGATTTGTTTTGATGTAAATTTGGGTGTCATCAGTGTAGCAATGGAAAGATATTCCATGCCGGCTGATGACATGACCAAGGGGGAGTATGTAAAGCGTGAAGAGGATGGGGCCAAGGACTGATCCTTGAGGGACACCGCAAGTGACAGAGTGTGTGTCCGATTTAGCAGCACCCAGGGATACATACTCGGTTCTGTCCGTGAGATATGATGTAAACCAGGCCAGAGCAGTATCAGAGAGTCTAATGGAGGAGTGGAGGCGGTGTAAAAGAATATGGTGGTCCACGGTGTCAAATGCTGCGGTGAGATCAAGAAGGATGATGAGTGAGGGAGAGCCAGCATTAGCCGTCATCAGCAGGTCATTAGTGACCCTGACCAAGGCAGTTTCCGTACTGTGGCCAGAGCGAAAACCAGACTGGAACTTCTCATAAAGACTGTTTGTTGCGAGATGATTGTGGAGCTGAGCAGAAACTACCTTTTCCAGCACCTTTGACAAGAAAGGGAGGTTGATGGGGCGGTAGTTGGCAGGTACTTCGGGGTCAAGGCAGGGCTTTTTGAGTATTGGCTTAATGACCGCAGTTTTCAGAGACTTAGGGACATGGCCAGATCGGAGAGACTGATTGATGATGTTGGTGATCATGGAACTTATTGCAGAGGAATGACTTTTTATCAGGGCTGAGGGAAAAGGGTCCAGATCACAGGTTGAGGGCTTCATCTTCCTTAGAAGGTCTTCGATGTCATGCTGAGTGATATCCGTAAAACAGCAGAGGAGCTGTGTAGTCCCAGATTGAGGGTCAGTGAATGTAACTGGGGGAGCAGAGGGGCTAGGGAGAAGAGGTGGCGGGTGTGAGGGAGCGGGGGGGGGGGTGTAGGACAAAGGGGCTAGAGAGAAGGGAACGGATCTTTTCAACTTTTGTTTTGAAGAAGGAGATGAAGGTGTTGCAACGCTCCTGCATGTTCTCTGAGTGTAGGGGGATAAGAGGTTTGAGGAGATGATTTATGGTTGAGAAAAGTTGCTTGGAGTTACCAGGGCTATTGTTGATTATATGGGAGTAGAACCGGGACTGGGTGTCACTGAGGGACTTGCTGTAGGCCCTCTGATGTTCCCGGTACGCTAACTTGTGAACAGCAAGCCCTGAGTCTTTGAAACGCCGTTCAAGGACACGCCCTGTTCTCTTCTGCAGCCGCAGCTCCCTGGTGTACCAGGGGGCTGAGTGTTTGAAGGTGACGGTTCTGGACTTGACTGGGGCATGACGGTCCAGGAGGGTGCTAAGTGATGAATTGTAAAGATCCACAGATTCAATGACTGAAAGGGGATTAGCAGCGGATAGAAGACGGAGGTCGGTAGTCAGGGTGACTGGATTGATGTTTTTAAGGTCCCTGAAGCTGATTTGTCTGCTTGACTTACTGAGGGGGAACAGGATGGGAAGCTCCATTGAAATGGCCTTATGGTCTGACACGCACAGATCGTGCACCGAGAGATTGCTGATAGAGGTGGAATTGGTGATCAACAAATCCAGCGTGTGGCCTCTGGAGTGTGTTGGTACTTTGACGTGTTGAGTGAAATTGAGACTGTCAAGAAGATTAATGAATTCAGCTACCAAGTAGGAAGAGGGATAATTTACGTGGATATTAAAATCACCAAGTATGATGATATTCCCTGGGGTTGAGTAAAGCGTGGTAAGGAAATCATGTATCTCAGGAATGAAAGCTGGGTTCGGTTTGGGGGGCCGGTAAATCAGGAGCATTGTAGTGGAAAGAGGCATTTTACATTTGAATGCAAGGCATTCAAAAGAAGAGTGGACAGGCAAGGACAGGGGGGACAACTCAGACTCTACCCGGTGCACAACGGCAAGACCACCACCGCGGCCAGTGGTGCGGGCCTTGCTTAAGTAGGTATAGCCAGAGGGACAGGCTTCATTTAGACTAGTGTAAACTTCTGGTTGTTGCCAGGTTTCAACTAGGAACATGAAGTGTATATGCTCGTTGATAATGTGGTCATGAATAAAAGATGCCTTATTATTAAGGGATTGTGCATTTAAAAGTTCCATTTTGACTGGGGGTGCTGGGTTGAGGGTAGCAGAGTGTCTCTGAAGGGGCCGGAGTAGGCTGTGATCCACTCCACATTTTATGTCCCGCTTGGAATGAAATGGCCTCTTGGTGGCAGCGCTCTGATGACGTGTCAGTTGTGCGACGGGCGTCCAGATTGACGGAATGTACTGCTCAGCCTGCTGGTGGTGAACAAAGCATCTGCGTACACTCCGGTGGACATAACGGGAGCGACACAAAATTCTGAGTTCACTTATAATGAAGATGTTAAGTCCAGGAGTAAATGCAGAATTGAGTCTGTGGAGCTGTGAGAAATAACTGAACGCCATGCCGAACAAGGACGTATGCCACCAAGCCTCGCTAGCCACTGGCCGACAAGGTAGCCTGTTTGCCGATAGCCGTCTTCATGTGCTAGCGCCGACAGAGTCCCACAGACGGAAAACAGCCAGACACAGAAGGGCAGCCCAGACCATGAGCAGCCGACAAAACAAAACAAAAACCTCCCACGGTGGACTCCAGCCAAACCCGCGGAAGACTCGTGGAACCGATGACAGAGAGCCCCTCAGGTTAGTCAAACTTTGATTGGTATAAACAATCCAAAAGACTCTAGACGAATTCGTGAAGAACGGAAACGGGACTTTTTTTTTCCAGGTTGGTCAAAACTTTGATTGATATAAAATAGTCCAAAAAGAGAACTCTAATCCCAGTGAGCAGAGGCAGCCAAACGCACCTGCGTACGCTCCGAGGTATCAAGTATCAAGTCATAACAGTCAAGCTGCCTCCTCATGCCTGCATGTTGAACCCTATTTGAGTTTAGGAACCTCAGGTTCCTCAAATCAGGGCAAAAACACAAGACAGCATTGGTGAGAAAGCTTCTCCATGTGGTTAACACATCCTTCCTCTCCCATACTACTTTCTTATCCTTTTTTGCTACCAGGCATCTCACTGGCTAGAGTGCCCCTAGTGACAGGATTAAATATTGCACGTACAGAAAGCTAATGGGACAAATGTAACTGTAAAACTGTTACAACATAGTGCCCCGAATGGAGCGTAGGGTGAATTTGGATCCCGTTGACCTGTTATTTAAAAGAGGATTGTGATGTTTTTGCTTACCCCACCCTCCGTGCCCCCCAAATTGCTGACCCTGGAATAGGGGGGTTTTGGACACCTATAGGGGGCGTCACTCACCTGTTGACCACACCCTCACACCCACAGGCCCTTTTCATGTCCACATCCAATAATTTTTGGGGGTAAAATGTGGTAGTTGCTCACAAAACAGCACTATTTGTCCATTCTCCCTTTGAGTAAAGGGATGGGGCTCTTACCTTGAAGGCCTCTAGTTCCTACAAGCTACTATTTGTCCGTCTCTCTCTACCGGGCACATGGGGGACACTTGGGGTGCCCTGTCCCACTAACCCTCTATTTGTCCTTTTCCCCACTATATATATGTCAAGTCAAGTCAAGTCACCTTTATTTAAATAGCATTTTTAACTATGTAGATTGTTCCAAAGCGGCTTTACAGTGATAATAGGAAATTAAAGTAACAGAGATTGTTTTGGCTTTATAGCAGCTCTATAAATAAAGTTATTTTCCAGCTAAAGTTAATTTTGATTGATTCACTTCCGTCGCAACGATCATTAGTTATTAACTTTTGGGCCGCTAACTAGAGGAACGGAATGAGCCATCGACCCCCGATGACCGCGAGTACCACAAACCCACTATTTGTCTGCTTACCCATTAAAGTGGCTGAATGACCCCTTGACCCCCACTGGCCACTGGCCTCCCACCCCCCAGGTACCATGAACCCACTATTTGTCCACTTCCCTGCTATAATGACCCCACCTCCCGGGACCCCGCCCCCAGTCCAACAAACCCACTATTTGTCTGCTTTCCTATTAAGTTTACAAAAAGCACGCCTAAATGGTCTTAAGGCAAAAAAATATATACATATAAAAAAAAATCCCACTCCCCATTTATTTGAATGGGCTTACCTGATTCACGGTTTTGTGAACATGGCCCAATCGACCAGAGGGCGCCATTTGCATCTTGCCAGGGGTCCCTCTAGTGGGCAGGAAAGTTTGGTGGTCCTACGACCTTGTTCAGGGGTCGAAAGGTCAAAAAAGCGACCGCTGACGGAGAGAGTAGGGTTAGAGGCTGAAAATGTTTTGCCTTTGCTCTAGAGTCCAGAGCTCACGGTATATTGCTAAAGGGGCCCCCCTGGGGGCCCCTGGGACTTATCTATTAAAATCCCATTCCCCCATTATTCGAATGGGTTTGCCATAGTGGGTTCGTCCATTATGCCATAGTGGGTTTGCCTAGCATCCACAAAGCCACTTCCACAACTCATCAAACTTATTATGAAATGTACGCCATGGAAATGTCTTGTGCTTCCTTGAGAACCAATGAGGTTCATTATCTGGTGTTACCCAGCACGTTTGAGCTTCAGCAAGAGCAAATGAGGTTCATTCTCGTGTTATGCAGCACGTTTGAGCTTCAGCAAGAACCAATGAGGTTTTTTGGTGAACTAAACCTTTAAGACAGAATGCACGGATTCAATACAATGATACACATCCGAATTTCTTTCTCTACTTTTAACATTCAGTTAAGGCCGACTGTGGTTGAGGATACTAGAGTTCTCTTTCGCGTCTCCTTGCACATGAATGTTTAAATTGAAAAGATTTACAAACACGCAAATGATCAACTTTTGCTCTATGATAGTTAAACTTTGCAATAATCCATGGGTCATATGAGTGTCGAACCGTGGGCCCTGGTCCATACAGAACTGCAATCCGTTACAGCGCTAGTGCTGACAGCGGGGTGTGTGTGTGTTCACACAGGTGCGGTGCTGCTGCACGCGGGCGATCTTCAGCACCTGGCGTGGCTCGGCCTGCAGTGGGCGCTGATGGAGCAGAGTGTCAGCCTGCAGCGCTGGCTCAAGCAGCTCTTCCCTCGCCTCACGCTCGAGACCTCCAAACTAGACACCAACTCACCCGAGTCCATCTGCCTGCTCGACCTGGAGGTGCGTCCACCCCTCTTCTCATCCTCAATGAGGCACGGGGAAACATTCACCTACATTTGGCTTTTATTAAACATGCAGTCTTTTTTTCTTTTTTTTGCATAATGTAGGTATTCATTTATATCTGATATAGCCTTTCAAAATGCTACTTTAGATAATGCAGTAATTTAATGCCTGTGATTTGTATAATGCTGTAATTATCTACCTAACATGCATGTTTGGACTGTGGAAGTGGGTCAATCTCAGAGTTATGGCTGAGGTGCTTTATCAGATCCGCTGTGTGTATATGTGATGTGTTGCAGGTGTTCTTGTGTGGCGTTGTGTTCAGCAGTCAGACGCAGCTGCAGGAGACGGCACGGATGGCCTCGTGCTCCTCACCGCATCAGCCCCGGTGTTTGCCTCTGCACATCATCAGGCTCCTGTCCTCCGCCAAGCAGCGCGAGTGGTGGGACGCCGTCTACCGCCTGATCCACAAGAGAGCGCTGTGAGTGATCGCCCTGCTGTGAGTGTGAGCCTGACGCACGGCTCCGTGTCTGACTGCAGTGTTTTCTGGTGTGTGTGTGACAGGCCTGGGACGCTGGCTAAACTGCGGATGCTGGTTCAGCACGGTCTCGGCACGCTGCGCGCCGGAGAGAAACACGGCCTTCAGCCGGCGCTGCTCATCCACTGGGCTCAGCATCTCACTGATGTGGTACGTCTGCTCACAGTCCTCGTGATGCTCGTTCTGAGCCAGGAATTATGGGCCGCTCTGGTCTGATAAGTGTTTTAGGGGGATAACGGTTGTTTTCATTTAGGAAATAATGGATTTAAAAGGATTAAAGGGAATAAAGAAAAAGTTACAAAACGGCTAAATAATTTATTGTAAGATAATCCATTGAAATATTTGAAAAAATATTTTATTTTAAAATATGCACATATTCACTCCAAAAAAAAACTAACTCTGCAGAAGACAATAGTGTCTCCATCATTAAAGTAAAGATGTGACAGGAAAGCGAGTTCACTGTCATACTCTGAACACTTCATAACCCGCCTCTGTTCTTTCCTGACGTCATGCATGTGTAAATATGCCTCTGATTTGGCCAGTTATTATGCTCTCTCTCAGTAACAAAGTGCACATTGTTTCTCAGATAGTATGTCTGTAAACATCAGGAAGCAGCTCACGCAGTCGATCGAATAAATAAGAATAAGGAATATTCTTATAAGAATAGGGAATAAGAATAGGGAATAAGGAGCGCGATGAATTAGAGCGTTTTCATGTGTTTGATCAGCACATGATTCCCATGCTTCGTTCGTAGTATTGATGGCTTCGTCAGTGTGAGATTACTAGTACAGACTGAGCAGGTGTGTCTTGACGTCGATGTGTTTGACAGGCGGAACGGGTGAAGGACTATGCAGGCCGCGGTGTGCACTACTGGAAAGTTGTGCTTCCCTTGCTTGAGAAAATCCGAAACAAACGCATTATTCCTGAACCTCTGGAGCCGATGTTCATGCACTTTCACAGTAAAGACATACAGGTATGTACTCTCTTCCTGTTTCTGATTCATATGGTTTGTTTGTCTCTAATGGTCTCTTTGTCTTCAGCCTTCTCAAGTGCGAGTATATGAGGAAGAGGCCGCCATAAGCTCTGCCACACTGCTTGACATCGAGGGCAACACCGACGAGGCCATCGCAAAGCTGGAGAAGCTCAACAGCACCTCGTCTAACTGGCATCTTGCTAAGGTAACAGCGCTTTCTCTGGACGACAGTCACACTGGTTCAGCATCAGAAGTAAAATGATTATTATTGGTCTGTGAATGACCCTAACCTGATGAGTTTGTGGATGTGTGTTGATGGGCAGATCTATCAGAGGCTGTCGGAGGAGGCGGGAAACGGGATGGAGGAGACGCAGGGCAGGTGCACCAACTTCCTCCTGCAGTTCAGGAAATACCTGACAAAGATTTATCAGGCCAGTCCAGAAGACATGGACAAGGTATGTTAAACACCTCTGATGTTTGTGCTGCTCACTTTACTCCAGGGTTCCTCAAATCTGACCCTGGAAGGGCCACTGTCCTGCAGCGTTCAGCTCTAGCATTAAACAAACACACCTGAAGAAGTTAATCAAGGTCTTCAGGATTACTAGAAAGCTACAAGCAGTTTGATCGGGTTTGAGCTAATCTCTGAGGGCAGGGGTTGAATTTGAGGAATCCTGCTTTAAACCAACTTCACATGCATTTACACAAGTGACCATTGCAGGAAACAGTGCAGATTTTAGTGCAGGGCTTACATTAGACCTGTCCGAAGATGCTTTTAAAAAGCACTGAACTCTGATTCTTCAACCAGTGCTAGTTTCTCAGTGAGCAGCCTGTCATCGCCTACATCAGGGTTGCGTGTGTCATGAGAAGTCATGTTTAGTTGAATTGTGAATGAGTCTGAAGTCTGACACTCGTGTCGAGTAATAATAGTCGGTGTCTGTCACTCTTCGGAGACGGTCTGATGGAGAGGCTTCAGGATCAAAGAAAACACTCAAGCTCATCAAAAGTCAAAAGTTTTGAACGCGCATCAAATTTGTGACGGATCTACTACTACTCTGGAAAATATCATGAGGGCCGCTGCTTTTCAGTAGTGTTTGTAATAACATTTCCATGATTTGTGTATTGTGATATTGTAATCAACCATAGTTTTAATGGGGTCATCGGATGCCCATTTTCCACAAGTTGGTATGATTCTTTAGGGTCTTCATGTAAAGTTTGTAACTGTTCACAGAGACCCGTTTCGGTGCATGTCTCTTTAAATGATAATGAGCAACTGCTTTTGAATGAACTAGTCCTTTAATTCTGTCTCTTCATGTTTCAAGTTGCCTGTGTCTATGGAGAATGTGATGGATATGCTGAACAAGGTCAACCAGCAGCTTGCAGAAGATGACGAGCGGGATGAAGATCATGTGGACTATCCGCTGACGTCCAGCCCCGGTCAGCCCACTGAGCCACATGTGAAGTTCTCCACTCCGTCTCCATCCAAAAGTGCCACGTCTTCATCTAAAAGATCCATGGTATGTCATGGCAATGGTGCTTCTGCAGAAGCTTTGCTTGCTGTTTACATAGCGTTGCGGTTCCTGACTGTTGTTCCCTTCTCCAGTTCTCGCCCAAAACGACTCCTCTCTGGGCAGAGGACCAAAAGTCCCTCCTGCAGATGCTGTGCCAGCAGGTCGAGTCCTTGAAGGTCAGTCGCACATCCACCGCTTGTAGCATAATCAGTCAGGGCCAGATGTACTAACGCTTTTGCGCCCACTTCAGGCGTATTTGTTTCGCAAAGTGCGCATAAAACCATGGCGAGGTATGTACGAATGGGACGCACCGAGATGAAAGTGCAGACTGCCTGTCGCGGGAACTGAAAATGGCAAAATGCACTTTTCTTGTCATGCATATGCATTCATGGGATGGTCAAGGGTAAAGTGGGAGTGTCACATAAAGAGATGGGAGGGGAAGTGTAAACTGCGCCTAATTGTGTATTCCGCGTTATGTACAGAAAAAGCCGGTGAAAGTGTGCCTCTATTTTGTAGGGCTGTTTTCGACTAAGGACTTTCATAGTCGAATCTGATTCGTTAGATTTTGCCGTAGTCGACTGATAGTCGAACCTTTTTTTTTTTTTTTTTTGATAGCAGCTAGACGTTCGGTTGAATAACTGTTCGTCTGTTATAGGACAACTCGCTCTACGTTTATTTAAAATGAACAGCAAGACAACTAGAAGTGAATGTGCTTTCCATTAAATGAATCCTTAACCCCCTGGGGTCGGCTATCGCGCCGGCGCGATAGGCAGACTTTTTTTCTTATCAGTGCAAAAGAGACTCAAAATACTCTGTTGATTTTAATCTTACATGTAAGTGTTATACATCAGTCGATCCTGTTTAGTGTATATTATTTTTCTGTATACTCACAATAAAAACAAAGTGTTGTGCTTTTTGTCAAATGAAGAAAAATAAACATGATGCGAGTTTTGCCTTCTCTCTGTCAGTGCAGTCCATTCTGAAACGCGTCCGAAAAATTAACTCTAACTCTGCAAATACTTGTCACACAGGCACGAGAGATTTTTCTTTATGAAGCTTGAATTCTCTTCTTTTCAATGAAGTAATTTATATAAAAAACAAATATTCTCAGTTTATGTAATCTGTATGAAAAGAGAGTGCTGTCAGAATTTTTTTCCCCAGCTCATTACACTTCATTACGCGTTAATCTGACACGCCCACGGAGAACGCGCGCTATTCAAACGCAAATGTAGAGGAAAGCCGTGACAACGCCCACATCAGCCGTTCCACCGCGGCGGTAAAATGTGGGGTGCATTTGCTACCTTTTACCGCTAAGAGGCGCTACAATCATAGACTCTGAAAAGTGTTCGTTTATTCTCTCTAATGCGTAATCTGCTGCTCATTCAGAGCGATTGAAAGCTGGTAGCAGATGAATTCAACAAGTGAAACGTAGTTAAAATAATTCATTACCACAATACTGAAATTAGGCTGAAATACTGAAATGAAATTGAATAAATAATGAAAACATAAAACATTGCAATAAAAACATTTAGGCTACATCAATGAAGCTTTACAAAAGCATAAGACTTTAACTCTAACAGCGTACAAACGGTGGCTCAGTGATCAACGCATCAACACGAGCTTCAGGGAGCTTCAATCGACCCGAGATCGAATCTCAATGTGGCATACATGTTGTTAACCGATGTTGGCCAACAGCGTTTATATTTTACCTTCTTGATGCTTAAATAGCTAACTGTTTATAACTGTTTACTTATTTAAAGTCAAGAGTTTTGTTTAATTATCATTACAACATAAATTTGCTACATTCCAGTAGAACCGCAGCCGCTGCACAAAGGACACAAACTGATGAAGGAAGATTGTCAGCCGATTGCATCAGAAAATGAAAATGAAGAAGCTCGTCTTTAGTCTGCTAAATTATTGTGTAATGTAAAAGAACACTAAAATTACTTAAGTTTGAAACCAAGTTCGAACATTTCAAGGTTTAAATAAAGTGTTTTTTTTTTATTTAAAACAGGGTTGCATCGGGTTTAGAGTTTATTTCTTTTGCGATGCAAAATAAGAAACACTAGGCTAATATTATTCTTGCGACATTTTAAATTTGTATTGCCAAATAAATGACATTAAACAATTAAAACAGTAGGCCTACAAAACGAAAATTGTCCAAAGCAACATAATTAAATTAAAACATGCGTTTTTCTTTGCCTCTCTCGCGCTGAATCTCTTTTTAACAAGTTTATTTAGTCTCCCTCGCTCTCCATATGAAAGAGGAACATTAACACCTAGGCCTATTGTCCTGCGCGCACAGCACTGAACTGTCCCCCAACCCCCCACAGGCTATCGGAGTCTGAGGCTGATTTAACACAAAGAGAAGTCGTAATTCACACTTAAATCGCTATTCTAGACAGTGTTGATAATGAAGGAATTAAATGATTTAAGTTACATGTAGCCTAGTGAAATTTCTGTCATAAAAGTTTATTACTAAATATTTCATTATTTCAATAATTGATGAAATAAAACTGGTTTGGGCCAGCTTTTTCCAAGCAAAACTAAATATAATCTGAAAAAACGCATGTTCATTTGTTGTCATGAACAAAATGTTCAACTTAATATTAAATTCTACAGGGATCTTTGGATCCTTTCAACCAGGCATGCAATTTGTGAATTAAGTTTTTATTATTTTTTTTATTATTCAAATAAATATCGAACCACGGTGCTTCGTGGTAATGCTGCTAAATTAAATAACATGTAGGCCTATAGAATAATTATGAACTTAAATGAAACAATATCGCAACATTTCGACAAATACATTATTTGATCTGTTTTTACATTTTAATTCAGGGCGATTTAGCCTGCTACATTTCATTAGAGCGAGATTTTCACCCTTGTCATTTTCTCATTGGGAAGCGCTTACATAGGCTACATGTTTGAGTAGATCCTCTGTACCTCTCGTTTTCATATGGATTACATAATCAGATAACATTTATTAGCCTGAATATTTAGACATTTAAAGGCATTAGACAGAGCCGATTTCTTATAGTGACTGAGCTGAAGTGGCTTTCGGTTCATTTTTGTGACGCGCAGTTCCCGGAGACAGAGACGACAGATAAACTTTTGTCGTTAGCAAAAGTTCGAATAAAACCCGATTTTAGAAAAATGCATAGGGCCACTCGGCGTGGTCTGCCAAAACACTTAATTATAAACTTCAATATTTCATTCAAAATAATCTCAAAACGCTTTGTGAAATTTTGAAAAGCCGTGCATGCATTAAGGCCACTTGAACTATGGACAACTGAAACGCTGGTTTTGATTTTATTGTTTATCGTTGTTTAAACGTGCTTGTTCTGTTGCATATCTCTATTTTATATTTGATATGGTCTATTGGTGAAGTAGCCTATAGCATTGATTACTGTGGAGGGAGGGGTGTGGGGATTCAAATAATTCAGCAGAAGCAGGGATGTTTAGACCAGAAGGAAATCCCCGTCCCCCTGGCAAATCACACTTTACTTAAAACCATGTTTTTAAAAACTCTAGGTTGTAGGGAATCAAAAAAATAATAATAATAGGCCTAATAAAATATATATATATATATATTGGCTATATATATAAAATTACTTTTTTTACAGAACTGCTTTTGAAATTACGATTGGCCTCATACGATTGGTACAGATGCAAAGTCGTTCTGTTGGATACTATTGTTCCTTAGTGTAAAATGGAAATGCATGGTAATTTTATTTTATAAATATAAGCAAAAAACTGTATGGTGTACCAGAGTTTTAGAGCTACACAAATCTCTCTGCATTAATAAATATAAAATTTACAATAGACCATGTTTGTTCGGGATTTGAACCCGTGTCATCTTGATGATCGAACCGTAAGTTCTACCACTCGGCTATGAATTTTCTCACTGAGAAATGCCCAAACGTTTGTTTGTCATGAGCGAGAAAACGTTTTGTCGTTAGCCTGTGAGTGTAGGCCTACTTTAGCCTACATGAATAAAAGTAGACCTTTTACAGTTTTAAAAGATGATATCTTATCTGTATGACCAACAATTACGCAGTAAGTTCTTTTAGCTGTTATGAGAAAAATAAATTCAAATGAACGCGCCGCCGCGTTTGTCAAACTCTAATTCAACATGCCAGAATAAAGCCAGATTTTAGAATAATGCATAGCCACTCGGCGTGGTGTGCCAAAATACCCTAATTATAAACTTCAATATTTCATTCAAAACCATCTCAAAACGCTTTGTGACATTTTAAAAAGCCGTGAATGTATTAAGGCCACTGGAACCCGGATCGTAACTGCAACGCGCTGCATGTCTCAATACAGGAGCAGAAGCGCTGGTTCAGATTGTATTGTTTGTTGTTTAAACGTGCATGTTGCATATTTAAAAATATTTGTTTAAAAATAAATGTTTGTTGTAGGCTTATTTGCAAATTACCATAACTTGTAGAATTTCATCCTTACTGTTAATTGACATTAGCCCCACTTACGTTTTGATAAATGTCCCTTTGCGCCACCTGGCGGTCATTTCGCGAACGACTTTGAAATGCGACTGGTTTATTTTTATTGTATTGGTCTACTTTAAAAAATAATACTTTATAAGACATTTATGGAAAAAGACTATTTTCTTTTCAAGATTCTGTAGAATGGCCCATATAGCATTTGACTAGAATTTGTTTCCAGGTATGACTAAAAATGTGCTTTTGGCTTTCATTTATATTTTGATTGTTTGTATATATATATATATATATATATATGTGTGTGTGTGTGTGTGTGTGTGTGTATATATATATATATATATATATATATATTTAGGCTATATATATACAAGAAAGAATGCAATGACAATATATATATATATATATATATATATATATATATATTGTCCTTGCATTATTTCTTGTGTGACACCCCTGAATGAAAGGCTCATTATTATGTAGGGTCACTGTCTGAGAACCACTTAATATTCATGATAGGGGTTGGGCCGTTCCGCCCATCTGCATATTGCCTTGGCAAACAAAAAAATGTTTTTCACAATTTAAAACAATCTATTGGTTTATGTGAATGATTAGGAAGGATGATTTTCAGATCATTTTGAAGCCAGAACTCGAAGCGTCAACATCCATTTGTCAAAAGTCTTGTGGACACATATTTAGTATTTGTTTTGTGGTCTTAT